AAAACTGTGTACCCATTCGGTTATTCTAAACCTTTACTAAATTCTGTGAATGTAAAACTGCGACCAATCAGCTGTTCTAAAACTTTAATAAGTCCAGCTAATGTAAAACTGTAACCAACCAGTTTCCCTAAAACTGTATTCAGTTCAGTTTGGTGGTGGCTAAAAGTGATGCTCGAACTGTAAATAGCCCAGTGGATGTAAAACTGTAAGCCCGGCTATTTCTAGACAACTGTAAACGTTGGGCAAGCAGTTACTATAACAGTGCAGTGCAGACAGTCCCTGTCCAACTGCAAGTCAAATGACACCCAAATCTGAATAAATTCTTATTGAAATCCGAAACTATCCCATCATCATCCAGCATATCTTCCATCTCTATCCGCAACATCTCCATTAGGAGGGATATTTGCAAGGTCCAGAGGACACGCTTGTTTGTTTTTTTTTTTGTTTGTCGGACTCCTTTGGGGTATGTCCTAAGTGCAGCCAGGCACTCTTAAACTTCGCCGGCTTTGGTCTAGCAGCAGCAGCAGCAGCAACCCTCGTAAGATGAAGATTTGCCAAAAGAGATATGTATTGCTCCCCCAATTGCTATAAAAACAGAGGGAGAGTACTCGTGCCGAGTGGGTCTCGGCTCTCGAAAAGGTCACAAATTTACAACAGCTGATCCTCTGGGTTTATTATTGAATTTTCTCTGCTGTGTGTGATGTGTGCCACCCCCTCGGGGGACAGTTTTTGCAGAGGGTTGTGGGCCTTTTACCTGATTGGAAGGAAGGCCAGAAAAAGGACGACAGACGGACCGACCGACCGCCCCACAGGCGCACAGTCATGGTCGATGGTCGTCGTCTCAATCTTTTGCTCTTCCATGGAAACAATTATGTATTTTGGGTGTCTAAGAGATTTCCATTTCCTGCTTCGCTGAGGGTAGGATTTTTACCCCTGAGGCTGCACCTTTGCGGAAAGGAAAGAATGGAAAGGAAAGCAGGGGGAAAACAGTTTTGTTTATCCTGCCATAAAAGTAGCCCCCGGGTTGCGGCCACATGATGGAAGTTTAGCGTATGGCTGGAAAATGTTTAACCAAATGAAAAATACCAAGGAAACGACCGAGCAAGAACGAATCCATAAATATGCAATGCAAAGTGCGTGGGCCCTGCCCTCGAATGGGCATAACTTTTGGTCGCTCCCTCAACTGTTGTTTGGCACAAATTGTCGCCATTTTCTATAAATATTTTAACAAAAGCCGAGCAGAGCGAAAACTTAAAAAACAAAAACCAAGAAAAAAACCAGGAAAACATTTTCATTTTTATGGCATCGTTGCTCTGACGAGGGGAAACGGAAACAAAGGGCAAAACAACACACCGGAACGGCATCCAATATACATATGCAAATGGTGAGGTGACACTGGTTGGGTGAGGGGTGAAGGGACTCCCGCAGAGTAGTTTCTCTGGGGATCAGAAGTGGAAGTACTTTGGAATATGCTAATGCAAAAGGGGATTATTCTCTCGAGTAAACTGATGGATGTCCCAAATAATGAGAAATTTATGTGTTTTAGTACTCATTTTGGTCGTGCAACATGCAGCAGTGCACCTCTGTCGGTTGGGGAAAAGGTTTTCTGTATTTCCGCCTGGAAAAAGGCCTTCAACAGATTGATTCCACATGAAATAGTGGGAAATTTATGTGTTTTAGTCCTCATTTTGGTCGCGCAGCATGCAGCAGTGCACCTCTGTCCGTTCGGTGAAAGGTTTCCTGTATTTCCGCCTGGAAAAAAGATTGATCTCACATGAAAACTGGACAAAGAAAATATGAAAAATCCTCGGATCAATATACAAATAATTCCCTGCCATTAAGTCTTTAAATATTCCCGGTTTTTTTACGACTGTTGAATTTTTTGTAGCCCGTTTGGAGAGTGGCTGTAGGCAGTGGGTGCCTGGTACCCCCCGCAGTCATCTTTCGCTGCTGTTGACACCTTTTTCACACACACACACACACACACACACACACACAGGCCTTAACTGTGTGACAGTTTACAGCTTGCCGGAGCCCGGGCGGCACTCACTTGGTGGCACTCGGCGCCCCACCCGAGAGCGCTTCAGGCCTCTCACCTGCACCTGTCACAGGCGTTAACACTGTGTAATATTTTGCCCGTTTGGGAGCCAAGGAATCATCGCACGAGCACGAGCACCAGTGCCTTCCCAACCGCCCACTTAATTGAAAATCCAAACTGCATTTCCCTTGAGTGTGGGGGGTGGGGGGAGTGGCAGCAGGGGTTAAATTAATTAGCTGCTAATTAAATGGTGCACATATTTATATACGAGTAGGGTCTGGCTTCCTGTCTGGCTGCCACCTGGAGGATCCTCCAGCAGTGCTCCTTCCTTCATTTGCGGTGTTTAAAAATTAACCATTTTCATTGGCTCGCTTTTTTTCCTATACTTATAAACCGCATTCAAGTCACATTGAGGGTCTCTAATCCCGCCCCTCCCTCTTTTAGCCATTTATCAGAGACGCCGCCGAACCGCCGTGGCGCTCTGCATCCCCACGAGTTGATTAATTAAATTGTTGACAATTTTAAAAGCTTCCCCATGGCGGAAACGAAGGCATTATTCACAGCTTAACATATCCCTCTTTCTCTGTTTCACACTAGCTTTAGCTCCCTCTTTTTTACACTCCCCTTTAGCTCCCACCAGCATATAGCTCCCCCTTAGCTCCCTCTCTTTCACACCAGCATATAGCTCCCCTTTTGCTCTCCCTCTCCCTACTTCTTTTTTGCTGGGAATGCTTGCCCCTTGGTTTTATTGCTTTCCATGGTCCATCCATCGTCCATCGTCTGTTGTCGGTGACAAATGCACTAGAAAATTAGCTTGCTCTTGCGGTTTGCTGAGGATGAAAACTGGCCACGAGGGTGGAGGATTCAATAAACAACTTTGGGTATTAGAAACTGTAATCAGCAGGACACTCTCCGCCATCCATCTCCCACAGGTCTAAGCCATATGCTCTGCGCTGTCACTCATTGAGTTTGATGAGTCTCCACTGAGAACGCGAGCCAGCGGCCAATGGCTTGTAAAAGTTAATATTCTGGGACTCTCGACCCCCATACCCACTTGCCATTAATTTATCTGTACGTGCAATGCTGTGTGGCACTTAAATTTGATTGGAGACAGCGACAGGAGTCGACAGTCGACAGCAGCAGTAGAGTGTGTGTCGTTCCATAAGTCAATTTTAATTGAAACCGCAACAAAACAATTAAAACTAAGCCCATGGCCAGTCCTAACCACACGTTTTACCGTTTTTGATACCCTTTAAGGGTGGGTATGAGGGAGTCTTGGCTTGGAGTGACGGGCGAGGCTAGTGAGCCGGGGGTAGGCGCAAGGGCAAGGGCAAGATCATAGTTTTTGCTGATTTTTTATAAAGAAACTAGTTTTTTCTAGGCAAAAAAAGATATAATATAAGAAAAATATGTTAAAGCACATGTCTTTGTGGGAAAAAGTTATTTTTTTTTAGGGAAAATTTCAGCAAATGTGACAAATTGTGGTCTCATATGTTTACAGATGGTTCTTCCAAGTTTTGCCTCATATTAGAGACAGCTTCCATGAGAACTAGTCTTTCTTTAGGGCATTGCTTAATTGCTTAGCTTCCACCTTGTCTCTGAAAGAGTATCCATGGCTTCGCCTTTCACAGACAGCCCTGCTTTTTCCCGTTTTATGATGATATCCTAAGGGTCCTCTCCCCTCCATTGCGTGTGTGTGCTGTCTGCTGAGAGAGAGAGAGAGAGCGAGGGAGCAAGGGAGCGAGGTATTAACTTAACTTTTTCCACCAAACTCAATTAAAATGTTGGACAAAAATTGCATATGCATGGCAGCAGGCGGAAAGTAAACAAATCTATTCAAGTGTCTGTGTGTGTATCTGTGTGCGTGTGTGTGTGTGCTGCATAAATTAATAAACTTGATAGAGGGATATGTGTGGGGGGGGAGGGAGGGATGGAGGCACTCCACGCAGAGCATAAAAACTAAACGAGCTTTGAGGACTGAAGAGGGGCCACACGTACGTGACGCCAAGGGAGGAGATAGTGAAAGGCAGCCAGAGGTAGAGCGGATGTTAGTTTCATAGAAAGAGAGGGAGAGACAGAGCGGATGCTGCTGGAGCGAGACAGAGACGGGGAGCTGGGAGTAGCAGCAATTAAAATTTTAGTAGTTGCCCAGCCGCGTGGCATGAATGCGGGGAGGGGTGGGGGTATCCATAGGGAGCGCTGGTGTCAACACGTATGCCTCCCCCCTCCCACCGCTTTGCTCTCGAGTCCTATCCTATTAATGACAAACACATGCCACACACAGACACAGAGAGGGAGAGAGGAAATGAGAAGAGGCAGAGCCGCTTCCGGTGTTGCCAAATCGACAGCGACATCCTCCTGCTGCTGCTGTTGCTGTGGCAGAGGCATAAATAAATTCCGTGTTGCATACTTTTATGCGTTTACCTGAAGGCCCACTGGCAGACGGAAAGGGCCTACTCTTGCCAGGGTATGCTATAGAGTAAGGTGAGGTCTGTAGAGATCTATAGGTGGAGGTACCTTGATCGCAGCGCTGACCAGGCTTGTCGAATCGAACAGTTATGTACACGACATGTATGTTGTTTTTAGTCTAACCTTCTATTGAACACACCCTGCCTTGGGCCTCTAGTCCCCGAATCTCGAATGATGTTTGCAAAGCGCTTAATGATGCGTGGCATGTATGTAGGGGGGGTGGGGGGGGTGTCCTTTGTACCACTATGGCCCCTGTTTATGTCCGTTGAGAGCAATGCAATACACTTGCAATTAAGCAGCAGTCATGTGCAAGTTTTTGGCAGTGAAAGCAGCTCCAATTTCGGCCTGTCAACACCATAGACACGCCTCTCGACAGTGCATGGAATTTTTAAGCAGTTCCCCCAACAATTTACTTCTGTATGCAGCCATTAAAACTGGAGAATCCTTGGCCTGGAACCAGATTTAAATGGAATTCCATGCGAAAGGCCATAACTAATGCTGTCAGCAGAATGTTTATTGTAATTACAAAATGTTTGCAAGCCTTTAAATAACAATTTGCCAAAGAATTTTCCTGCAAACAATGAAAATCAATTAACAAAATGTACAACAAATTTTCGGCACGAACAGCTGGGAGCAGGGAGCATGGAGCAGGGAGCAGGGAGTGTGTTTTGTTTAGCGATCTATCTCGCCAAAGACTATGTCGAGGGAGCCAATGATGGCCACCACATCGGCCAGGAGGTGATTGGGCGCCAGTTTGGCCATCAGCGCCAGATGGGCATAGGATGCCGGACGTATCTTGCAGCGATAGGGACGTGTGCTGCCGTCGGAGACCAGATAGACACCGAACTCCCCCTTGGGCGACTCCACGGCGGTGTAGGTCTGTCCGGGCGGCACGAAGATGCCCTGCGAAAAGTGCTTGAAATGGTGGATGAGATCCTCCATGCCGGTCTTCATGTTGCGACGCTGCGGCGGAGTGATCTTCCGATCGTCCACCTTGATCTCCCCGGGTGGCATGAGCTCGAGGCACTGCAGGATGATGTCCAGCGACTCACGCATCTCGCGCATGCGCACGAGGTAGCGATCGTAGCAGTCGCCATTGGTGCCGACGACGACATTGAAGTCGATCTCGTCGTAGGCATCGTAGGGCTGCTGCTTGCGCAGATCCCACTTGATGCCGCAGGCCCGGAGAACGGGCCCCGTGCAGCCGTAGTTGAGGGCGTCGTGCGCCGAGATGCATCCGATGCCGATGTTGCGCATGCGCCAGATGCGGTTCTCTGTGGCCAGATCCTCCACCTCGTCCAGGCGATCCTTGAACTGGCTGATGAAGTGGTACAGATCCTCGCAGAAGCCCAGAGGCAGGTCGGAGGCCACGCCACCCGGACGGATGTAGGCGGCATGCAGGCGGGCCCCCGAGGCACGCTCCGAGAACTCGTAGAGCTTCTCGCGCTCCTCGAACAGCCAGAAGAGGGGTGTAATGCCGCCGCAGTCGAGGATCGACGAGGATATGGCCATTGTGTGGTTGGTCAGGCGCATTATCTCCGCGAACATCGTGCGAATGAACCGCGCCCGACGCGGCACCTCGATGTTCAGCAGCTTCTCCACGGCCAAAGCATAGGCCTGCTCGTTGGCCATGCAGGACACGTAGTCCAGGCGATCGAAGTAGGGCAGGGCCTGCAGGTAGGTCTTGTACTCGATCAGCTTCTCGGTGCCGCGGTGCAGCAGGCCGATGTGCGGATCCGCCGACATCACCGTCTCGTTGTCCAGCTCCAGGATCATCCGGAGCACCCCGTGGGCAGCCGGATGGGCCGGCCCAAAGTTGATGAATTTCGTGCGAAAAGTGCGATCCACTGGCGGCGGCTTCTTGCCCGTGGCCGGGGGTCGCTGATGCCACTGATCCCCGGTGGGGTACATGACCACGCTGGCGTACTCCTTGAGGTGCTCCGGATCCGGATACCAGTAGTGCGTGTCGCGCGGCTCGTACGGGGGTCCTGGGATGTACCCAAAGTCCTCCTCGCATTGGGGTTCGGGTTCGCCTGTTGTTTCTGTGGGGGGTTTTTCCCGAGGGGGGTTTATTGGACTCTTGGGGGGAACGAATACTCACTATTTTTATCCGCTGAAAAGAAACGCAGCTTTGGGTTACCTTTCCCCAGAAATGTTGTGTCAAAAGTTGTCTTTAGTTTTTCCATATCGAAGAACCTCTGCTTCAAGCGATTCTTCATGGCCACGAAGCGTGTAATTTCCTTGGGTGTGAACAGATGATGAGCCAATCGACGTAAGCCCTCCATTTCGAGAAAATCTTTTCCTTTGCTCGTCAGAAAAATAAATACAAAATGAAGTTTTCGTTGGTTTGAATGAAGTCTCAGGGAAAGGCTACTCTTTATGGGAATTTACTGAAAGGAATATGCCCGAAAATTATCCACCCGTTTGTTCTTTTGCAGATCTTCGAGGATCACTATCACTTTGCACATCACAAGGTCTCGAAGCGCTCCCTCTCTCCTGCCACACATCACCAGACGCGTCTCGACGACGACGAGCGCGTGCACTGGGCCAAGCAGCAAAGGGCCAAGTCCCGGGCCAAGCGGGACTTTATACGCATGCGTCCCTCCAGGACCTCATCGCGGGCCACCTCGCAGGTGGACGCCATGCCCTTCGACGACGCCAAGTGGCCGCAAATGTGGTATTTGGTAAGAAAACCAGCCAGAGATCTCCCTAAAAGGCAAATATAATCATTTTTCGCTTCGTAGAATCGCGGTGGAGGCCTCGACATGAATGTGATACCCGCCTGGAAGCAGGGAATAACCGGCAAGGGTGTGGTGGTCACCATTCTGGACGATGGCCTGGAGTCGGATCATCCCGACATCGAGCAGAATTACGTGAGTAGTGCCGCAATGCCCAAGGGAGTCTAAATCGAACCTTTTGTACTCCCTGAAGGATCGCAAGGCCTCGTACGATGTGAACAGCCATGACGACGATCCCATGCCGCACTACGACATGACGGACTCGAATCGGCACGGCACTCGGTGTGCCGGCGAGGTGGCTGCCACGGCGAACAACTCGTTCTGTGCGGTGGGCATTGCCTATGGGGCAAGTGTGGGCGGGGTGCGGATGCTGGACGGTGATGTGACCGATGCTGTGGAGGCGCGTTCGCTCTCGCTCAATCCGCAGCACATCGACATCTACAGCGCCTCCTGGGGACCGGACGACGACGGCAAGACGGTCGACGGGCCCGGCGAACTGGCCTCCCGCGCCTTCATCGAGGGCACCACCAAGGGCCGAGGGGGCAAGGGCAGCATCTTCATTTGGGCCTCGGGCAACGGTGGTCGGGAGCAGGACAACTGCAACTGCGACGGCTACACGAACTCCATCTGGACGCTGTCCATCTCGAGCGCCACCGAGGACGGCCACGTGCCGTGGTACTCGGAGAAGTGCAGCTCCACCCTGGCCACCACCTACAGCAGCGGCGGGCAGGGCGAGAAGCAGGTGGTCACCACAGACTTGCATCACTCGTGCACCGTCTCGCACACGGGCACCTCCGCATCGGCCCCGCTAGCCGCCGGCATAGCCGCCTTGGTCCTGCAGTCGAACCAGAACCTCACGTGGCGCGACCTCCAGCACATTGTGGTGCGCACCGCGAAGCCGGCAAACCTCAAGGACCCCAGCTGGTCGCGCAACGGCGTGGGCCGCAGGGTCAGCCACTCCTTTGGCTACGGCCTGATGGATGCCGCCGAGATGGTGCGCGTGGCACGCGCCTGGAAAACAGTGCCAGAGCAACAGCGCTGCGAAATCAATGCCCCCCACGTGGACAAGTAAGCGACGAGTCCCCTTCTTTCTCTTGTGTATTAAATGTGGGATTCTCTTGCTCCCTTAGGGTCATTCCGCCACGCACACACATCACTCTCCAGCTGACTGTCAAGCACTGCAGTTCTGTCAACTACTTGGAGCATGTCCAGGCCAAGATTACGCTCACATCCCAGCGGAGAGGCGACATCCAGCTGTACTTGAGGTCGCCGGCCAACACCAGTGTGACGCTGCTGACGCCCCGGTAAGAGTTTGCCCTGAGAGGTCCTGCTTTGCCCCCACTTACCCCCACTCTAATCTCCCGGCAGTGTCCATGACAACTCGCGCAGCGGCTTCAATCAGTGGCCCTTCATGTCGGTGCACACGTGGGGCGAATCGCCGCAAGGAAACTGGCAGCTGGAGATCCACAATGAGGGTCGCTATATGGGTATGTACTGAGGCGGGGTTTTCCCTTGATTCGATAACAACAAAACGTCTTACATGCTGCGCGGAACCCTTTCACTTGCCACCAAAACCATCGTCCCCTTTAGGCCATGCTCTGCTCAGAGAATGGTCGCTGATCTTCTACGGCACCACCCTGACCATCGATCCCAATGATCGGATTTCGGTGCCGCGTCCCAACAGTGCAGAGGCCACCACGCCCAACTCCAGCAGCAGCAGTGGCAGTGGCACCACCAGCAACCTCCATCAGATCTACTCGCCGCAGTATCCGCGCATCTCCCCCAACAACTTTGGGAACACACCGTCGAATGGGGCCAAGCTGCCGCTGGGGGGCAAATCAACGCCGAATAAGTTGTCCGGCTTCGTGACGAACAATCCTTTGATGAATTCGGGACCAATCAAGCAGGGATATCAGCAGATCTCGGCCACCTATGGTGTGATTCTTGGAAAGAACAATCACAACAACAGCAGGGGGAACAGCAACAACAACAACAACCAGAAGTCGAAGGCAAACAAGCCCAAAGGAGGCAAGGAGGAGAACAAGGAAAGGACTGGAGGAAAGAACAACAATGCAGGCGGAGGAGGCGGCCGCGTCCAGAGCACCACTGCAGCCAGCAGCACCACCAGCAAAAACAAATACTATCGCATATCCCAGCAGCAGCAGCAGCATCAGTCGGGGAAGGCCAACAAACAGGACCGAAACGGGGTGCAGACCCCGCGACCCAAGGCCAATTCGGGCGAGAAGTCCTCCTCGCACGAGGACAAGGGCCGCAAGGTTGTTGGGGAGATCAATGCCAGTGGACGCAACTCTACCGCTGCCTCCGCTCAGAATCTGCCTGTCAAGGCGACCAAACAGGTCAAGGGGCAGGACACCACCGACTCGCGGATACCCAAACTCTTTGAGCGATACGAGAAGATACAGGCGATATTCCCCGAGCTAGAGCCCTACGAAAGCAGTGCACCCAAGGCCAAGGCAAACAGCAACAGCAATGCACAAAGGAAGCAGGGCAAGCAGTTCGAGGTGGACCTGTTCAAGCCCACGACGGGGGGCAACAGTCGCCAGGGGAACACCAAGAAGTCGCCATCGGTGCCGCCGCCGCCATCACAGGAGGGCGGGAGTATCTTTCTGCCGGATCTGCCGGCCGGCGGCAGTAGCTTTCTGCCCGACCAGAAGATCCTCAAGAAGCAGCAGCTGCTGATGGCCGCCGCTGGGGTCATGGCGCCCGTGGAAGTGGAGGTCCAGGACTCATCCAGGAAAAGCAGCAATGGGCCAAATGGTAGACACTACTTTTTGGTTCACATTTTGGTTTCCTTTCGTTAGAGTATCTCTTGTTTTGGTAGATACTTTCGTTGTTCGTTTTGCGTTTCCCTTTTTCAGTTTTTGGGGCGGGGCTCTCGTCAAACTGAAAGTTTGACAGCCACTGAGGGGCCTTCATCAATCAAAAGTGCAACTTTAAAAATGATTTTTGTTTCCAAACCAGTTCTTGGTTCTGGGTTTTCTTTTTTAGATACATTTAGCCTTCGACACTTGATTTTGTTGCCACATGTAGGAGTATATTTTGGCAGATTTATTGGCCCCTTCATCTCCCATCTACCCCCCAATATATCATAAATTTAACAACATTTTTCATTTGATGTTTGCTGTTTTGTATAGATTTTCATACAGTATTCTTTTGCACATTTTTATATTGGAATTCTCGGGCAATAACTAAATGCATTTCGATTTCTCACTCTCTTTCGCAGCACAAATCACACAATGGGACATGATATTCTATGGCACGGAGACGCCTGCACAGCCGGAGGACCAGGCGAATGTCAACCAACAGAATCAATTTAATTTATATGGCAACGATATGGCGCACAATGACATCGAGTACGATGTCACCGGCCAATGGCGGAATATGCAGCAGGTGAGTGGCAAGTGGGGCTGATGTAATTGCAACTTGGAGCGTGAATACAAACGTATCTCATGGCCGCATGCATAGCCATGAATCACTCAACGCACGGAGAGCTGGGCGAGGGGGGGATGGAGTCCTGCATTCCGATACAGTGGAGGCTCCTTGCGGGAGTTTTAATGAGATTTTATGCATTGCAACAGCCAGAAGGAAGAGTTTATAAGCCGATAGACTATCATAGTCCCTAGAATAGTTGAGTCTTATGGGGTCTCTTCTTCAGGAGCTTCCACTGTATTTAACTCGTACATTTTTAAGTTTGTTTTTGGCTTTTTGTTTCGGTTTTGCAGTGCTTCGTAGATGGCGGTTTGTCGCTCCAGAATCGGGGCACAACATTGCGTGCTTGCATGTGGCTTTCTTGATATGCAGTCGCTTTTCAACTGTACCTGTAATGCTTTGCAAACTGTGTGCCTGGCAGGTAGCTTTATCCCATAGCGTTTAGCGTTTAAGTTGATTTTGCCAGCATGCTTCTTGCGCTTGTTACTCACCCCAAAAGGTCCCATAAATTTGCAAATACTTAGCATACTACTACCAGCTCTCTATCCACTGTTGGCTGCATCTTAATTCCATTTTTTTGGCAACCATTTTCCGGGAAATTTCCTTTGCGGCACTGGGCATAGAGCCAGTCTTGGCGGCCGCTTTGGCTCGTGTCAGGGCCAGCCGGGCATAAAATACACAATTTTTACATATTTCCTCGCGAGTTAACGAAAGGAACGAACCCAACCCCCGACCTGTGGGGGGCATGCAGCAATTTTTAACCTTTTGGCACCTATTGTGCCTTTAAAAGCGTTCCCTTTCCATACTGGGGTTAAAAAGGATGTGCCCCGTGCCCGTGCCAGTGCCCATGCCCGTGCAATAAAGAAAGAGTGCAGTGACCTTAGGTTTTTATGTCTTGCCGCTTGGACGGGGCTGCAAAAAAAACTTTTCTATTTTTTTGCATAACAAACACTTTTTTAAACCCTTCCCCGCCCTGGCGCTTTCTGCACGCGACGTCATTGCATGTGAACTTAGATACCATACCGCCAAATGGGGCAAGGGGGGCAAGGATAGGCACATCAAAGACCAAGGGGGGGAGACAGACATTTTTGGGAAGGGCAGCAGCCCATAAATAAACACACA